ATAGAGTTTGGAGTATGGAGATTCATGGCTAACAGAGTGACCACTGACCAGACTGCGTTGAGAAACAATGCCAGATTGTCAGCTAATTTACCAAACAAAATTGATCTTTGTGGTTGAAAAATAAGCAACTAGGCAGAAAGTGGAGATATATGACAGTGTCTCTTTGAGTATTTAATATAGTTTTTGCACTGAACTTCTTTATTGGACGTTGTTATGTTTGGAAAATAAGCAATTAAAATAAAAAAAGTGTAGTAGTACTAAAAACAATAACAAAAAACGCCTGGTGAGACTCGAACCCGTTGGATTAGAAATAAGATACTTTATCCATTAGATCACATATGCCCACTGTAAAATTCCCGTTGTGACCAAAAAAATAGTTTTTAACAGCAAGGAATAAAAAAATTTTAATTATTTCCATTCCGGAGGGAGGTTGTTCTGAAAGTTGTTAACCTATATTCATTTTAGAGTTCTAGGAATGCACTGTTACCGTTAATTTCTTGATAATATGCTTGGGTAAAACCATAAATTATAACATTGAAGATATATACTCATTCTATTAACCTCTTGTATTGTTGGAGAGCCAGGTTGAAGAATGACCATCAAGTGAGAATTGAAATTACATTTCTTTTTTAACCTTCTAATAATCTTATTCTTGTGTCTCATTTTACAGATTAAACCTTGTACTATTCCTAGCATGCAAGTTCACGTCTGTCCTATAGAAGTTTCACCACAATAAATTATATATGGTGAAAAAGGCTAAAAACATAGGAATCCCATATTTTCATATCTTTTTTTTCTCTCTTATAATTTCATCTTCCTCTTACTAAGCACAGTGTAATATTGGATCAAAATCATCGTTGAAAAGACTTAAAATGCCAGTTTTCAAGAAAAAAAAAAAAGATATGTAGCTTTATTTCGCAATATATGCAACAGAATCCAGGCAAAGAAAGATAATTCTTTAGTTGCAACACTTCGCCACATTAAGAGATCAACACTTAAGAATTCTGTTACTGAATGAAGCACCAAATGTTAAGAGAACTGGCAGAAGCGATGGATTTTCTTGTCGGTGGTTTTCACTTTATCAGTCAATCTCAAAATGTTTGATCATTTAAAGCCGCTTTGACGTGAAATGAGCATCGTCTTGAAAACACCCTGGATATTCTAGCTATATGTTCCATCAACCAATTTGGTCAATTGCCTCAATTAGTCCATATTTGAGTTGGTTCTGTTATTTTGATTCCGTCATCAGCATACCGTAGTGCACAAATCTGTTATCCTTGATTGCGAAATGTTGGTGAAAGGGAAGACACTGAAGTTGCCATTACGCAAAGAGGTCGATGTCATCTCTGAGTTGCTCTTCATGATTTGCAATTATCATTTCAAGGCATTAGTGTTGACTATCGAGTGAGGCAGTTGCCTGGAGAGAAGTCAGACTGCTGTTTAAAAAGGAGGCAAATTCTTGTTAGCATGTTTCAACTGCTTGTAACTTAAAAAATCCGTTACTAACAAATAGTTTTTTTTCACACTTCCAATTCCAGCTTCTGCATCAGCTTGATGGAACTTTGACACCACATTCAAAAAGCCCTGCATTTTTTTTAGACATTTGCCTAACCTGAGGGGTGAAAAAAAAGCACAAACCCGAGAAGAAGTCCTGATATAAAGGCTCCAATATTTGCAAAATTTTCAATGTATGGTAGCAAACCAATGAGGAAATTGATGGCGAAAACTATGAAAAGTACCGCTAGAGCTGCACACTGCAATCAACCACAAAAGGGATCAGTAAACTACAAGGTCAATTGGATATAGACAATGACATAAGTGGGTGAACAAGTAAAAGAGAGTTAAGCACCTTGCTTCTGTAAACTTTCCAGTTCCGAACAAGCCCAGAAAGCATAGCTTAAAGTAATCCAAACAAAGCACTAGAGGAAGTAACCTCAGGACTATTTGGAACAAAAAGTGAACATACCAAGCTACCAAAAAATGCATAAAGTAGGTAGATTACCCCAATCCTCACAGTCAAGCAGTATTTAAAAACAGTAAGTTTTGTTGGGAAGATAAACCACCTTAGAGTTTATGGGAGAACACCAAAAGCTCATACATATATATTGGATATCATTTGAATCCAAAAGCTTAAACTATTAAATTCTTGAATTCTTTATGCATATATAAGATATCTTATTCAAATTTTTTAGTGATGTGAAATTTTTTACTCACTCGTGAAATATATCCCAACAAGTTTTAACCAAATGTTAGGCAATAAAAAATGTAGCATTTTATATTTTTATTCGCTCGATCAATGCAAAGTAAGGGTTATACTTATATTAGAGAGCAGTGCTCTTACAAGGTCCATAGTCTTTCTCTAAGTGGATTCCAACAAAGATCATAGAGCTGATGTTGATGGCAAAATGTATGAGGCCAGCACGTAACCAGGGGCTTATAAAGAGACGCCAAGTTCGGTGGTTCTGAGCCAAAAATTCCCTTCGATGTCTCCAACTTTATCTAGTCTTCAACAGTACAAGCATGATTTCAATTTCAGCTAGAAAAGCTAAGACCAATAAGCTTAAGTATAGCTAGAGCCTCATTTTCTTTTTCGTAAAACAACAGGTCAACAAAAATTGTTGGAAATGACAGAGAAAAAGGTTGCAAAAGCCAAAAAACTTTGGACGACAGTGATCTGCTTCAGAATAGTAAGTCACTATCAGCAATAGAATTAAAACATATCAATATTCAAAGAGTAACACGAGGATTAAAATACTAGAGCAAAGAAAAAACCAAGGAAAAAAGGAAGATAGAAAGTGAAATGAACTGACGTGGAAGCAGAGGGACCGGGCAGGGGATTCTCAGATGAGAGGCTGAAAGAAGACAGTGCCAAGCGGGAATAGTTGAAGAGAGTGGTGGTTATGAAAGCCACGAGATGGAGAATGAAGAAGAGGGAGATGAGCCATGTGTCCAATGCCATCTGGCGGTAGCGTGACTTGAAGAACGGAAATTTCCCTTCTGACAGATTATTGGTTTGGCGGTTGTCGAAGAAGGAGGAGAACGATGGCGGTATTCCTTGACTTTGGGGCTTGATTTTGATCTGGGTTTGGAGCTTATTGGCTAGGTTGGTTTCCTCTTCCATTGAAGTTCTTTGCCGTCACTCACTCACTTGCAAAAGCCACTTAAGATTTAACTGTTTTTGATTTGTTACAGAGGCGGTGAGAGGAGATTTTTCTCTCTCTATACTGTTGGGTTTGGCGGGAATTTCCCGTGCGGTTAGATGATTTTAAAGTTTTCTAATAATTAATACTAGTTGGAATAACAAGTGGATCCGTGGCGCAATGGTAGCGCGTCTGACTCCAGATCAGAAGGTTGCGTGTTCGATTCACGTCGGGTTCAATACCCGCTTTTTGGAATGTGGTTCTCATTGATTTTTGGATAGGCTTTTTATTTTTGGGCCTCTCTAAGGCCGAAACAAACCGAAAAAAATTAGTAATGACTGCTTATAGAAGTCTCTGAGCACTGCGCAATTAGAAGCTTGCACCCATTGAGTTGCTTCTCATGTGGATGAGAAAAAGTAAATATAAACATGTGAGAATAAAAATGAGATTCGCTTTTGTTCTTTTAATAAAAGATTATGCACAAATCATTAATATTATGTTCCGTAAAACGGAACAAAATTTGAGAGAAAGAAAAAGGCAATGAGAGAAAAACTTATATATTTCATTGTGTTTTGTACCAAAGATTAAAATATAAGGAAAAAAAAAAGAAATTATAGATAAAATTGTAAATAAAATTATTAATTTAAATTGAATGAATGTTTTCCTTTAGGAATTAATTTAAAAAATTTTAAATTCATTTATTTTTTATTTTTTAATTTATCTCATACTAAACAAAAAAAATAATTTTTTCTTTCATCTTTTTTTTTTTTAATTATATCAGACATAGTATAAGTCAAATGTTCAATGTATAATTTGGTAATTATATATTTTGATATTAATAGATTATTGAATTTAAAAATAAGTTTGTTTTACAACTTCTTATTGATAATTAAAGTATTAAAATTGGGATTGAAAATGACAAAAGTAGTTCGAATTAGTCATCCATCCACCGAAAAACTTCAAACAATTACAACACATAAATGGGCAGAGAGAAAAGAAAAAAAAAAAAAGGAAAGAAGTCCTTAATTGCAAAGGGCTGCATTTGATCCTCAACAATGAAAGCAAACCACAACGTGGTTCACAGCTATTATAAAAGAAATCACATTGCACATGAGATCATTTAATTCAACTAAGTTTGCTTGTGAAATCCATAGTGCATGGTGCTATTTGAGGAAACAATTAAGGTTCGAACTATTTTAAATATAAAAAAAAAATAAAAACTTGAATAATAATATTTTATATAAAAGCTTGTATTAGGCTCTTTGAATGAAATACGTGAGATTATGTTTTGATTAAAACTACATAAATACATTCATTAATTTATTTATTTTTAAGTATTTAACTTTCAATTTCAAGTACGTACCAAAAATGAAAAATCTTATTAGGATAATGTATAGTATTGTTTTTGTTTCATTGTCTTTGTTTACATTTACTTGTAATTTATTTAAATTTAAAATTTAATTTAATTATATAATTATTTTTTAAAAATTTATATTTAATAAAAATAAAATTTAAATCTGAACATCTATAATTTATTTATTTATTTTATTTTGAAACTATAACTTCCTTTTTTATTAAAAAAAAAAAAAACTGCTCCGAATCAGTGAGTTATATCTAAGCAGTGACAAAAAAGATTTCAACTTAGAGCTCCAAATTTCCACAATGAAGGAATTTTAACTTGAGTCCTAATCAGTTCACCAGACTTCTGCCCAAAAAGAAAAAAAAAAAAGTAAATATAGTATCCACTCTTTAATAATTTTGTAAACGTGAAAGACAGTGACTGATGAAGTTGTTAACTTGGCAAAATTTATTATTTATGTATTTATTAATGAATTGAACACAGATATTAAAGCCGCTAATACTGATTTATTCCATTTAAAGTAACAATAATAGCTGCCAACTTCTCTAGTAAGATTAGCTGGAGGCGCTGGTCTGTGATCCTCCTATTTATACACATCCCTATCGCCAAGATTTACTCATGGTACATACACTCAGCGCTAACTTGCCTTTTAGCTCTCATTCCTTTCGTTTTTTCTTTCGTAAATTTCTCTCCCAAATCAATTTTCCCTCTCTTTTTTCATTAATTAATATTCAAAATTTTGTTTTTTAAGTTCATTTCAGTTAGGGTTTCCTTTTGCATTTTTTTATTGAAATTTTGTGTTTCTCCAATTTTATCTTTTAGGGGAATTGAAATGGATTCTGCAGCTCTTCACGAGGAGATCGACTTGTTCTTCGAGTCTGCTCCTCCGCTCAAAGATTCCACTGAAATCACGGACAAATTGAATCAATTCATCAAATTTAATTCTCCATCATCAGGTACAGAACCTCGTAACTAATCAACTCTGTCTACGTATTTCCCAACCGTATAGTTATACGTATATATACCCCTTGTAATTTTCAGGAGAAGGAAAAGCGAGGAGGGTTGTGTGCGTGACATCTGGCGGAACGACGGTTCCTCTAGAGCGGCGGTGTGTTCGGTATATCGATAATTTTAGTTCAGGGAATAGAGGAGCGGCTTCTACAGAGTAAGCACTGTAAAGGAATTTCGAATAAGTTGATATATTTGATTGAAGGGTGGCTTCTTTTTTTAAACTGGTTGGAACTTTTTTTGCAGGTATTTTATAAAGGCTGGATACGCGGTTATATTTTTGTATCGAAGGTGAATTTCGTTTTTGTTGATTGTTTATTTATATGGTTGGTTATTTTTGTTTGTGTTTAGCGGATAATTGTATTAGTTCTTGACTTGTGTGTATGCAGGGGAACCTGCCAGCCATATTGCAGGTCTCTCCCTGAGGATCCTCTGCTGGAATGTTTTGAGTTCGCTGATGATTTCAATATTCAAGGTTTGGGGATTATCTCTACCCCCAAATTATACATTTTTTTGGAATGTTTCTCTTGTTTTATATGTTTGACATTGGACATGACTCGAATGCGTTAAATTGACTTAGAATAGGTTTTTTCATATCATATGGATTATTGAATACTATTATTAGAGAATTTTAGAAAGGGGGGGGGGGTTAATCATGGTTAATAGAATTGGAGTTCTTTCATGCTGCCTTTTTTGTGTCATGACATTGATCTGTCAACTTTTACCTGAAATATATGGTATAAATTGTTGTTGTTTCATAATGAGCTTATTGGGTTATGCTAATATTTCAGTGTGGCAACCACATTCTGAAGCAGTGAAGGGGGCCATTAGGGATCATCATGCTGTATGGGCTTCAATATTACTAATTATTCGTTCTTTTAATTTTTATCTTTGACCTAGCTTTTGGCTCATTTAGTTCATGATTGCAAACTGAATCAGCATTACAGTTAGCCTCTTTGCACTTTGTTGCAGGCAGTAGCAGGTGGTCTCCTTTTGAAGCTACCCTTTACAACCATATTTGAGTATCTTCAGGTTGGCTTCCATAAGCTTTTATATGGCTCCTTGAGGTTCTTATTTAATGACTCATTGCCATTTAGCAATTTACCCTTGTATTGTTTTTAATCTTTGCCTTCTATGTATGTTGACATATTGAGATTACTTTTGGACGCCTTTGTACCTTTGGAAACTCATATTATGTTTTTCTTGTGTGAAGCTTCAAATGTATGGTTAAGTATATTTACAACTTTGGTCTGCATTATATGCTTTTTCATGGCCGAGCTACCATTTTTGTTAAAATAGCTTTAACTCAATGATCTCTTACCAGCTTTTGGCTAAGAGAAGTATAGTAATAGCTTTGGCAGAAATTGGCCATGGCCTCTCTATATTTATGAATATATGGGGAGAGATCTTCTGAAGTAAATTTTTGGAGAAAATGTGAGGCGATGTACTTTTTCTCCATATTTGGTAATTATATGGTTCACATGGTCATTAGATAGTAGCTTTTAGTTGTACTTTTTTGTGATTACATTGACAATATTATAAATTCATCCTGTACATGTACAGAAACCATATCTTACAACCTGAATGGTTATTCTTGCTAATGCAGATATTAAGGATCATTGCATTGTCAATGAGAAGCCTTGGGCCTCATTCAATGTTTTATCTTGCTGCTGCCGTCTCTGACTTCTATGTTCCTTGGAAGAGCATGGTAATGGTTCAAAATAATGAAATCATGTTCCTTTTGTAGACTGAAATATTATTGTCATTTGAATAATCTTTTATCAATATGTCTATTCTTTGGCAAAACGACTGATTAATTGCATAGGCAGAGCACAAGATTCAGTCAGCGTCTGGCCCTTTGGACATGCGACTTATGCAAGTGCCAAAGATGCTCTCAGTGCTAAGGACGGAATGGACTCCCAGGGCTTTCTGCATATCCTTCAAGGTCAGACATGGTGGTGCTTTTACTTTTTTGTTTGCTTCGGAATCTAGGACTGATTGAAAGTGCTTTTTGAAATGAATGCTCTTTAGTTTCACGTAGCAGGAGCTGATTTGGTTCTAATTTATATGGTTTTGATCAACAGCTTGAGACGGATTCAAAGATTCTCTTAGAGAAGGCCTGTATGGCTCTTAAAAAGTACAAAATGCATTCAGTTGTAGCCAATGAACTGTTGACCCGGAAAGAGGAGGTCACAGTTGTCACAAGTAATGGACATATTTCAGTTCACCGTGATAAGACTCGGACTGGGTCTGATGTGGAGGATCCCCTGGTTGAACTCCTTGTAGATAGACACTCAACTTTCATTAAAGAGTCTAGCACATGATCTTTAAGCAAACAGGAGATACTTTGACATATACAACACATCTTTCAAATACACACTTTTACCCTTTGAAGTTCTCCATTCTGTTAAAGGTCTTTCACCATTAACGCAGTTTCTCTTTACTGTTACAAAGTCTGTAACTAATTGTTTTGCTTAAATGTTACGAAGTCCGTAACTAGTTGTTTTCCTTCATCTCTATGTAATAAATTGTTTTAACATTCGGCAAGTGCTCAAATTAAATGGATTACAGACACCGGACTCTAGGAATTGATAAAGTGAACAATTTCTGTATGGCTAAACCGGAGCTAGCCGAAGCTTCTGTTTCTTTTCCATCTTGGAGAAAAATGGAATAATAAATGCCACTGGGAAATTTCCCGTGTCAAATTTTAAATGGTCCTTTTTTTTTTTTGGTCTTTCCTTTCTAGTGTGCTTATTGAAGTTCAAGTAAAAAACTAAAAAATGCAGAACATGAATTTTTGTTTTGTTTTGTTTTTGCTTTAATTGAATACTGCAAATATACATTTGTAGCCGACGAACACCAAAGATCCGGCCTGCACTATTTGTTGAAACTGGCCTAACCGCTTGCACCAGAGCTATGTGTCTGCAATGTAGCATGGCAACCACAACCTAATCTTTCCAAGCCTTTGCTTTCTTAACCAGATATGATAATTTTAAATACAGCACTAAAATGATATTAGATACAAGATCAAAATAACACTAAAATGATATTAGATTCGATATTAAAATAATACAAAAAAATATAAAATAACATTTAAAATTTCGACAAAACCCATTTATGAATTTGACAAAAAAAAAGTTTCATATTTTCTTGCTATAAATTAATTTTCGTATTTTATACATATTTATCACAAAATAAATACAATACGAAATCACATGATAATTGTTCGCAACAAAATTAGTAGCTATAAGTGTAGTATGCATTCTGTTCAAACGTCTACCCTAAATCAATTTGCAGTACTCTAGCACCCCAGTGTGTAAATGAAGAGGTTCACCATTGCCAAAAGAATAGAACTGGCTTTTAAACTGGTCCCCTTCTATTCACTCGCTTAAGCCATTCAGCCACCTTTTGCACCGGTACATGCAGTCGTAGACATCCAACACAACACATACATCCGCATTCAAAAAGAGTGGAGAGAAAGGAAACCTTCAATTAGGAATAACAATTTCTTTCTTAAACATGGAACACTTTTATATGCAGTTTCTCCATTTCCTTTCCCTTAAGCAGAAAAATATGTATATGAATCAGGGATCCTTTATGAGCTACATAAAGAATTAAGTGGTGGCCTATATGTACAACATATTCTACTGAGATTCATCATCTGTATCAAGTTCCAGGCCTTCTGCAGCTAAAAGCTGCTTTATAACCTTTTTCTTTTCCTCTTCCGCTCTCTTTCACATCAAATCCCTTTTCATTAGCACAAGGGTATGCCGCTTAAGAGTATTACTAAAGTGTTCCATTGATGCCTTGTTTTCTTTTGCCAAGATTTTTCTCTCTTCATCAGGATCTATCTGAAACCAAATACAAATTCTGAGATACGTAGCAACTACATTGGAAAGATTCACAATCTGTTTGACTGAAATATAAAATAATGATATGAAGTCAGTTGTGTATAGGGTAATGAAGAATAGAAATAACTACAGTCTTAAGGATTTTGAGACACTACCCAAAATTAATTTCAAGCTCAAGATAAGGGCCTTTCCAAGATCATCAAATTCTAAAATGAAAATCTATTTCTTCAATGCTAAACCATGTGTGTGTACTTAAATTAGATTCCAATGCTCTACACTGGGTATAACACTATAACTTACCATAAATAAGATGGCAAACCAGGCAATATGTTTAGAAAGTCCACCCTGGTACATTTACACTATTAGAGAAATTTCAGAAGTAATTAGTTACCTTAGAATGAGAAAGATGGCATACACGGAGATTCAACTCACGCTGCAACAGCCATATCTCCCTGCTGATCCCAAGCTTTTCGTTTTTTTATAAGCCACTTCGTCCATGCTTGATATGCCTAAAAGAATGGAGAAAATGAGGAAATGCCACTCCTAACGATTTAGCTAACAAAGAGTAAAATAAGGAGAGAGAATAATCCAAAAAGTTCTTAACACACAAATTTTGAGAATAACTTGAATTTCACCATACCAAACAATTTAAATAATACATGACCTCTACTATCACTTTGGTGTTCTCACCTGATAAGTCATATTTCCGATTTAAGGAAAAACCAAAACAAGAAAAAAGAGTGAAAGCACTTATCTAGGTTTTCTGCAATAAAATTAGCAGGAAGTCTGTCTTCAAGTTGCTTAATTAACAAACTTAAGAACTCAAGTTAATAACCCATGTATTTAAAATGTAAAACAGTAAGATTATATAATTTAAAATTATGAAATAAATTTGGATTGAGGATATTAGATCTTTCATTGCACAGCTTGCATCTAAAACTTCCAACAAAAAAAAAAGTGATAACAACTCAACTAGAAAATGCACAACGTCCAAATATACCCAACTCCAAAGCAAAGTTCAATTCCATAAAATTGCATATCTTACCTTCATCGGATTGACTCGGTTATCCATATCATATTGCCTCCATCTCTCCACATCTATGAACAATTCATAAGCAGCTTGAATCTTAATGAATCTTGCTTCGGCAGTTTCACCTTCCTCAAGAGCCCCTTTACCATCATAGACTTCAAATTTGAAAATTGATCAGTTAGTAAGAATAGATGCCAAATTTTTTAAGAAAATGGTGAAGTGGTAACAAATTTCCAGTGAAGTAGATAAAACTAAAAACATCTATTATAGCATCCAAAAGGAGTCATGAACCGGTTGTACTTAACACCGACATAACATCATTACACTCTCCTCTCAACAATCTAGAATGCTGAGTTCTTATTTAATGCAGTCATATGTGTTTCACATGGGAAGCATCCTACCATGAGAGATAGCCCAAAATAATTCCTAAGAATAAAATCTCCTATTACCATATAAAAACCTTGCAGCCACTACACAAAGGGTTAGTAGAATGATGAGCAAATACCCACAAACAATTGACCTAATATTGAAACCTTACAGACATAGTTCACTTATGAAACTTAAAACATTTGAACGTTTCAAAATCAAGATAAAGGACATATACCATCAGGATGGTAGAATTTGGCCAAGCGTCTGTACGCAGTCTTTATCTGTTCTTCATCAGCATCCCTTTCTAATTCTGTTGTTTAGAAATCAAATTCCAATATAATTTATCAATTAGCAAACCTAAAACAAAAGAAAAAAAAAATTGTTAAAGGCATTTTGTTTTCTGGAATACAACCAAACTATGAAAAGAATGGAGCTTTTCGCATCAAGCTAACACGGCATAAGGGTTAAAACAATTACCAAGGGTTTCATAGGGAGATTTTTTATCTGACCAATTCGATGCCCTACCGACAGTTCTCCTTTGACTGGCTCGAAACCTAGGTTCCTTCCTGCTCAAATCTCTGGACAAATCGAACCAAGGAGAGAATGAAGATGGCCTAAAATTAGGGTTTCGAATGGAAATCCTAATTCTGGATCGAGCTTGATGGAGGTGGTGGTGCCTGTTATAACACATCAACGAAGAAAAGACCGTGTGCGGTCTATAAATTGTCCTCAAATTGCTCATTTTCTTTTTCTTGTTTTTGAGGGGTTGATTATGAGCTTGAATTATTAAAATTAAAGAAAACGATCATTAGATTTTAAGAAAATTGAATTTAGGGTTTTTTGGGTGGGAATTGGAGATTTTGCAGGGGTCGAGTCGGAAAACTGGAAAAAGGAAAGAAAACCTGCAGTGAAGAGTTCTGATAACGAACATATGAATCTAACTGAATCCTTTTGTTTTTTCATAAAAAAAATCTGTTTTTGTTTTGTTTTTTCTGCCTAAAATTCTTTTCATTTTCATTTTTCATAAAAATAAATATTTTAATTCTTTTACCTGTGATATTATGATATTATTGAATTAATAAAAAATTAATCTAAACAAGAGAAAAAAGAAATAGATTAGAAGAGAAGAAGATTAACACCATAAAAAAGATATAAGAGCAAATAAATTAAGTTTTTTCTTCGTAATTCTTAAAATGTGCATATACATTATAATTTTTAATTCGTAAATTATAATTCACAATACATAACTATTATTCTTATAATTGACTAATTTTTGGCTTGATAGTTTACACCAAATAATTTCATTATCAAATTTGTAATAAAATGATACTATTGAATTAATCAAGAGTTAATCTAAATAAAAGAAAAAACAAATATATAAAAGAAAAGAAGATTAAAACCAGAAAAAAGATATGAGAACAAGGAAATCAGGTTTCTCTTTCATAACTCCAAAATGTATATACATAACAGTTTTTAATTCGTGAATTATAACTCACAATACATAACAACTATTCTATAATCGACTAATCCTTGATAGCTTGCACAAGGTAACTTTATTTTCAACTTCTCTACATCATTACTGTCAGTTTAATCCCTTACTAATACCTTGCTGGTATTCTTATCAGCTTTTAACTTCATCACATTACCCGGATGGCTTGGAAGGGTCAGGCTGCCGCCGTTTTCTTTTACCGACTTCAATCTATGGCAGTTAGTCAATTACTAATATATTTACAGCAATATTTTGCCATCCATCGCCTCCGATTATTTACTTTTATATATATATATAAAGATACTTAACTTTTGAATTATACAAATTATCATACATATAAAATTTTATATTTGATGTACTAAGATTTTATATAATGTTAATAAGACACATGACATCTCACAAATATAAATTTTTGATAAACTCTTTAAATAATTACACAACAATTTAATTTTAAAAAAATTTAAATAATAATATGACAATATATGATTCTACATTGTATAAAATTTATACATTAATAAAATATCAAATATAAATTTTAAAAACAATTCTTTTGTCTCTTAGATACCAAATGTCTCCTTGACTTATTTTTCAAATCCTTTTATTCTACTTGTAGCCTTTTTTTTTTTTTTTAAACTCATTTAATAGGATGCTTGAATCCAAATTTTCAAGTTTTGGTACAAGAAGGAACTATAAAGAGTTACTACATGATTGTGCTAATTAATTGTGTTTTCAACTTTTTTTTTTTTTTATACATTCAAAATAAGAAACTAGTCAAAATTACTCTTAATTTTACTTTACCTTAGGTAGCTTCTATTCGTTTGTCGTCTAAACTTTTGATTTGTTTTTTGTAACTTATTTTTAAAAAATTCGTTGTGTTTATTTCTCTATTGTTTTCAACTTGAGTTTATGGCACATCTCTTTGAAAAAATTCAACTGGCCTCAATCCCTTTCTTTTTTTTTTTTTTTTATTAATGTCATAAACCATTGATTTTTTTTTATTTTTTTTATAAAAGAAACCATAATTTGAGATAGAAAAGATATTATAAGTATTAAAATTTCAATCATAAACTTGTTAGATGCCACTTCTTACATGTGTTAAAATTTCAATCCTAAACTCACTAGATGTTATTTCTTAAAAAATAACTGTATGAACCAATAGGGTAAACCTCCTGATCCAAACCATTGAATTTTAATGGATCAAATATGCTAAAGTTTTTGTTCCACTAACTTCAATAATCCAAAAATTCCCAAAAATAAGGTAACCACAAGCTTTCTAGTATAATGCTCCAGCTTCCAAACAATATAGTACTATGCAATACCAGTAAATCTAACTTTAATGACCTAATATTCTTCTTGATACAAAACATTAAGGATTCAGATTTACAAGTTTTATGCTCAAGAAGTTTCTTTGAAAAAATATAAGCAGATATATATTGTAATTCATACTACAAGACCTCCAAAAATCCATTTCCATACCAGTTGAGAAGCAAACTTCTGGTGACTACAGCCTAGATATATTGATGGTTCTCTAAGTTCTATCTTTACAGACTAGGCAGGTTCTCTTGGACGGGCAGCCCAGAGTGAACTGAGTGCACGTAGACGATGAAAGTATTCCCCCAAGGCAAGTAAACCTCGAGCTGCTTGACGGGTTGTCAGGATTCGAGCCATCTGTTGCAAAGTCTGCTGGCGAAGGTGATCAGCCTGTTTTGGGGAACAACACATACAAAATCCAGTAAACAAGTGTATATTAGGGCAATATACTTAAGTATTATTCAAATTCTAGACAATGTTTCCTCGGAAGTAACATTCTATTTTTATTCATGCGTGTTTGTGGACTTGGTTTTTAAAAATACTATAAGACTGCTAGGATGGATGAATTTCCATAGTGGAAATGGATGTTGATAAAGCCTGAGGCAGTGCTCAAGTGGAAGGTGATTGAAGTGAGCCTGTTTGTAATTCAAGGCTTTCTGAAATTTAAAGCTTTTATTTGGGATGGAATCTGAAACTTAAAGTTTAGCGAAGATCTAAAAAAAATTCTCTAAGAAAATTTTCATGAAACAAAGAACCCCCATTCTCCCTCCTCCCTCCAAGTTGTGAAAGCACCAGTGGCACATCAGTACCCTCAGATTCTTGAGCAGATTTAACTCAAAATTTAAGATCAAGAGATTAGACAAAATTGATGGAAAAGAATGAATGGGTTCAGAGCAATTCATAACACTTGGTGCAATGATGTCCTATCAAAAAAGTTTTTTTTTTTTTTTTTAATAAATAAAAGGAACAACTATTTTGATGATGAAAAAGTAATGTCATACCTGGTTTACAAAGCCCTCTAGGGCTTCCAATTTATCTATTGCAGCTGCCATCTGAGCTCTGTAGTTTCCTGAACACAAATCAGCTGCTAGACTCTGGGCCAAATTCTGCTGGAGTTTATCTATTCCTTGGGAAAGAGCATCTTCAGCTTGCTGAGAAGATTGTCGAAGGTTACAGACCTCCAAATGTTGTTGATCAGTCAAGGGCTCAATTTGTGGCATGACAACCTGAACAAACAGAATTCACAGTTTCATTATTCATGACTAGAAAAGTTTGTTAATATTGATGCATCAGCCCTATGGTATTTGATTATCAAAAGAAGTTATTGACCTCAGTAGGCGGCTCATATGGCATCTCCAGCAACATAAAAAAGGGTCTCAAGACAGCATAGAGTAAAGCTTAGCTGTTATAACTTTCTTTTAAAGTTCAAAAACCATGCAAAAGAAATTATCAACTTCAAAATATCTAAATATAGCTTCAGATAGTTAAGGATAAATGTACTTGTCTTCACTTTACTATTTACTCTTACTAATGCAATAAGCAAAAAGTGATGCAACAGTTGTTCTCGAGTGGTGAAATAAAAAGCACTAGTTTCTGCAACCGGTTATCACAAGTTCATTAGGATTTTGACATGCTGCTCAGAAGAAAATGTTTCCTACATGCACAGATCCCCATGATTCTATTCTCCAGTTTGCAGGGTAGATATCTTATGAGAGAATTTGGGATGAAAAACTCATTGCAGAGAAAGGCTAGAGAAAATTGAGTTGCATCTCTCTTTACTCATTATTGGTATAGCCTAAAATTATTCAACTGACAGGAACGTCAAGAACCCTATTCATGCAATTACAATTAGCTATGTAATAATACACTACTGGACTTGCTAGATAATATTCAACAGTGAAGCATGCTCAACAATATTCAATGATAGAGGGCATTCGTAACCAATAAAAGATTGGCAGCCTTTCAAAAAAAGAGTTATATGAGACTGAGCATTACATTTAAAAGCTCTGACGGGCGGAATCCTCCAATCCAGTGGAAAAAACGCTCGGCTGAAGTTCTCCAAATGCCTGAGATCAAATAAAAGACATCTGCCTTTGCAGCATCAGCTTTCATGCGGAACAGATTGCAATAGTGGTTCAAGCCACTTTCTACCAGTATGCGGAGCTCTATATCAGTAATGTGTGCCTGGAGTGCACTTCTAAGTTCACAAATCTGTTTATTTTGTTCTTCAACCCAGTGTCCATATTCCATCTCAAATGCAGTAATCCCTGCAAAATTCACATGAAACTATTATAAACAAGAAAGCAAGATAAGTGCACCTGACATTTACATGAGAAAAATGTGATATTCCTAGAGAAAACTTTAAGCATAATTCATTAATAGTTGATGAAGAACAAGGTAAAACATGTCTAGTTTCTTGAAAGCTATATCAAATAAATCTTCTGCATAAATAATGAAAACACATTAATAGATGTGTTTTTCATTGTGAGACCTTCAGACATCATTTTCCAGCGAAAAAGAACACTATGCAAATGACATGTCCAGTTGAAGTGGACTCCTGTAGTCCTATTTAGGAGTCATATACTTCAATAAGCTTCCGAGAAATTTTGATCAGAATATAGAAAACACAGAGAGAAATAAAAGTTCTTCAAATAATCTAACTACATGAATGCTAAAAAACCTCTGCCAAGTTTCTAAAATATCCATATCCAATAGCCAAAGGTGGGAAAAATTAAAGAGACAGAATTAAAAGAAAAAGAGAATTCTTTTTAGATGAGGTTTGTAGCAGGGAAGGGATTCTATTAAACTGGAATTTGGATAAAGAAAGGAAAAGCATCTGCCATGCCATTACAGAAACCATTTATCATTTCCTAGAAATTTGAAGTATCCAAGAGCAAAAAGTTGTAAAGATATTATAGTGATGTGCCTCCGCATTAATTAATGAAACATCAGCAAATACTTGTACTAATAGTACAAATTTTGTTTGAGATTATAAATAGATTACTCATCTGCATTCCAATTATGCAATATTGTTGTGGGTAATGTCAGAATACCAAAAGAATGAAAATTATCCAAAATTTATATCAAAACTCATAGATTAGAGTCTTATATAACATTATTTTTACAAACTTGTAAACATGCAAGGATACTAACTTCCATTCATGACATTAGTGAAGAAAACCATTGTACTATAATAATCAGTGACATCTTAGACAAGCACTAACAAGGCAACAAAATCTTGCTCATAAAACAAGTACATTGCAGTGAATTAAGATGCCGGGAAGCTAAACATTCTACGAACCAATCTATAAAGCAAATAATGATAATTGAAGAAGATTAGATCACAAACCTGAGTTTATGGTTCCAGACGGTCCAAAATAACCAGTATCTGATGCACTGCTTATGTATATACCCTGCATTAAGGCACCGCCTAATTGATTACATATGCCATATGATTTTTCATGAAAAATAAAGAAATGCCTTGTTGATAAAGGGAGAAAACATACAAGGAGAGAAAGAGAGTTCACTTCACCTGCTGCCTAGCTCTTTCAAGCTCTTGCTCCAATTGACCTAGTTTCAAACGACTTGATTCTAATTGTTGAACATAGGCCTATAAGATAAAATTAAAGCATAAATACTTGTATATGTCCAAACAATGAAACAACTACCATAAGCAAATATTTTATATGGAATGCATTTTGTATCTACCTTTTTCCGCATACGACTTTTACGGGCAGCTTCACGATTTTGTGCCAGACGTCTTTGTATCTGCACATATTATGTGTCTTTAAACAAAAGATAAATACAACTGGAACAAGTAGGAGGTCCGGAAGTACTAATAGATTTAGAATGTAAAACAGCTATTACATGGCTGCAGAACAGGAACTACACAGTAGGTGGAAAATTGAAGTGGCCATCAAAAGAATTTTCTACTTAAGAATAACAGACTCAAATGATTTCGTAACACTTTAGAAAGAAGTTAGTTTTATTTCTTAACTTAAAATTATAATACTTTGAAGCATATCAAAGGCACAAATGCTCACGAGTGGGGCAGTAGTACATATGACATAAAGGCCAGTCATGGAAAAATAGGGGATAAAGCTATCATTTCTTAAATGTTCTTGAGGGAAGATATATGTCAGCAGGGAGAAAGAAAGAGAGCAGATACAGATGCAGCAAATTCATCACCTTATCAGTGGACTTGTTTGTTTCTTGATCACTTCTGGAAGGTTCAACTTGCTCACAAGATATATATTCAGCCTATGAGTTAAATCAGAACAATTTAGTTATAGACTGAAACTGGTAGAAAAAGCTTAAGCACCCAACCACGAAATAAACTGAATGCAACTTCACCTTGTTCTCTGGCCTGATATCCACCTGCACAATTGTGGATGATCCTGTATTTGGACTATCTTCACCGTTGAAGGTGTCTCCCCACCTGCTTATCTGGTGGAATTGCTCATATATTGCCATCCTTCTGGTAAGTTCAGTTGATGGAGAGTTCATACTCTATCAAGCAACTAAAAGAGAATCAAAAACAGACAAACTGCTGATTGATTGGTTAATTGTCTTTAGCAATAGAAGAATTTATAACAAAAATTACAAGGAACTTGTCTTCCAGAAGTAGCAAAACAAATCTTGGGCCAAGGATACAGAAGCAGAGATTTCAACAACGCTCATATGGTTTCCTTACCTCAGTCTATGGATAAATCTCCATGGCTGGCCAAAAATACAGTGATACAAATGCCTAAAAAGAATACACAACAAAAATCACCTCAATATTAGCAAAAATGGGGCAACAGTCCCAAGAACGACCAAGCAAAATCAGCAATGGTAGAATTAGCAGAAGCAATATGACAAACCAACTAAGGTACGGCAAAGTGATCGGTATGTAGAAGTGGGCATGATCATTTTTTTTGGGGAACAGAAGAGCTTCCCTCCCTTCCTAGTACTCATTAATCATTACAATTAAGGCTGTCTGAATAAGGCTTCAGGTTTTCTCCAAAAGCAATAAAAGTAACCAGAAAAAGAAATTCCTATCACTTATAAACGAATATCTGTAACTAGAAATCGCGCAGCTGGGAACATAGCCAAGTTACAAACAAGATGCTCCCTCTTCTCTTCTGAACCTCAAAACAAAGAAGGCCCTATTCAACATTTTCAAGCCTTACGAATCCCTCTACATTAAAATTTGGATATGAGAAAAACTGTAGATCACCATTATTGCATTTCCAGAACCAAAACAAGCAATCAAAGCCACTAAAATATGGATTCTAGTCTTCCTAAAACATTGCCGACAGAGAAATATATATGCCCAAAAAGGCCAATAGAGAGTCAAGTTGATCAACTAATAATCAGAGAGAGAGTCAAGTAAACATTAGTTCACTTCACAATCACGAACTAACTCTTAATTTTTAAAAGCAAGTAACTAGACTCAGCTCATGCTCTTTATTGGCGCCAAAATTACAAGTTCCTACTCTCAGCCATCATAGATTAACCAAGAATCCAGCGGGAAGAACATGGTCAGCCAAAACTGATCAAACACCATCCCAGTAGACCACAAACTTACTAAAGTAATGTGATCAGGAAGGAAAAAAACTGATCTTTTAAAATTTTCAAGTTTCTCATAAACCCAACATAAATATAAAATGATTGAAAATTGAAAATTGAGAAACTTTACTAACGAACCTTATGGATCAACTGAACTTCCAAAACCCCAAGTCCTTTAATCAAAAAAAGCCAAAATGAACACTCAAAGACTGTTGTTTCTGTAAAAACACCACTTTCCACCAATCCTTTGAAAGAAAACAAAGAACCAAAAACAACCCGCAAAATTAAGATACTTAATAATGGTGAGGAAAAAGAAAAGGAAAGAATGTGTAATAATTTTCTTTTTAAAAAACGCTACAGTCTAACATTCACTTCTGAGTGTTCCCACTTCGCACTTAAAGCAGCAAAAAAAATAAATAAGAAAAACAAGGAAAGAAAGAAAAATGCGCATAACTTTTTTATCCTACGCACCCCACACTCCCTTAACCTACGCCACTCGTTACCTCAGTTCCTGTCACCCTTTAACGTCCATAACTGACGTCATTTATCGGCCAAAAATTACAACGAACCTTTGGCTGCCTAAGGGTTTTCTGGCTGTCGTCCGTTGGTGTCCCACGTGGTGGAAAATGAATGGATGGTGAGTTCCGTAGTTGGTGAAGATAGCAGACAGCCACTCACTCTTTCGTAGACTTCTTGCTCTCTTTGTACTTTTTTCCACTAATACATTTCTAGAAACCAACGGATATTAACTTTGGACGAGATATTAAAATTTTATTTTAACAAAAGTTAAGATTACAATTTGATATATCAACAATTAAATCTTTTAATTTTACAAGAAACACAATATGTGTTAATTTAAAATTTAAAATTAATTATTTAATTATTAAATAAATATGTGACAATCATTTGCGTAAATTAAATATAAATTTTAATATAAAATCTAACATCTATATAATTTTATCTCCACATGATTTTTCCGTGCAACATGTGTCTTTTTTAGAACAAGAAAATAATTATTTATTTTGTTAAAGATGTTGGTGGCATTTTATGAATAAATGGTAAAATAAAAGAAAAAACTAAAGAAAGATAAGGATACTTTTGATATTAATGTGAAAAAAGAATTAAGAAAGAGAAAGAGAACAAAAGAAAAAAAAAAGAGCTTTTCTCAATTATTGAGGATAATAAGATAATGTTTGGTAGAAGATGATTATTCAAAAAATAGAGTGATTAGATTATTATATTTGATAATTACTTGATAATATTATATAATAATAATTTTGGATCATTGAGAGTGATTAGATTATTGTTTTGAAGCATGATCTAATTCTAATATAAAATGATGAAAAATTTTTATTATCCAGATAAATTGATATTTAAAATTAATAATAATTAATTTTACTCGTTTAATATATAAATTAAAAATTTGTTGCATCTTAAAATTATAATTATTTATATTATAAATTTTTATATTTTCAAACTAATATTCATTATAATAATTTTAAATAATTTGTGTATTTTTTTACTTTTAATAATTTATATACAAAATAAATTTTTTATTATTCTTTTATTATGAATTTAATAAATTGGTTTCATTTTCTAATTCAAATATTTTTTTTACATAATTTATATTATAAAAATTAATTTATCTGTCAATAAATATATTTATAAATTTTATAATTTAATTATAAAATAAATAAAAATTATTAATATTTTACAAATTATTATCTTTAAACAATTATAAAATTATTAATTTGTGTAACATTACAATATGCATGAATATTTTCGTACTTTTAAACAAAATAATATTTGATTTTTAGTAATATCAAACATAATAATCTTTAATTCTTAAGAATTAATTATTGTTAACCAAACAAAGTAATTAAAAATCATGAGTGTTAAGATCATCTTGATAATAAGATCACTCCAATGATTATATTACCATGGTGATCTTATAAAAGATATAAAACGCTACCTAAATGATTTTTGTGGCATTGACTAAATGATTAAAAAATAAAAAATGCAGAAGGTTAGGAAAGGGTTGACGAAATTTGGAAAAAAAAGTAGAGAGTGAAAGGAGGAAAATGGGGATAGATGCAAATTTTTTTACCTTAGGTAAATCAAGAGCATAGAATTTCTTATTAGAGGTAATAAAAAGAAATTGAATATGTTGTTCAGCAATATTCTTTTTATCTTTTTTTTTTAAATCCCTTTTTATTATCAAATTCAGTGATTGTTTATCAAATTCATCATGATTTTATAATTTTGGGTAAATTTAAAAAATATACTTTGTGGTTAAAGATAGATTAAAAGTGTCACATGAGATTTAAAACATAACACATAAACACCCTATACCATAATTCAATTATCACCTATTGAATGTCGCTAGAAGTAAAATGACCAAATTAACATTCGTATAACATACGCCATGAACTAATATAGAAGTAGCCTAATAGTTAACAAAAAAAAAAAAAGAACAAAACTTCATTCAATCTAATCTTCATCTTTCAAAACTCTTCTTTCAACAATCAATCCTCAGAATCGTTCGATTATTATGATATGCATGTTTCATCTTTCAGTTCGTCTTATAAAAGGCAAACATTCATTCAATAGTTAAATGACAAGTTCATATAGACATTTCATCAAATGCTTAATACTACTACATATTACACCCTAATAACCATTATAATCTTTCATACACTTAAATCGTACCTTATTTCTTACTCACAACAAACTCATAATAAACTATTAATATTAATTCATCAACTCAAGAAAACCAGGTCTTTAGCTTCTTCTATCTAAAAGATCACATAAAATCAAAATCAACAACATCATAATTGCCACAAACTAAAGCAACTAACATTTTTTTGCATCGAATCTTAACTAGCTAATGCTTCAATGGTAACTTTCTTGCATAAAATTTAGGTAGTTCATTCCAAATTTTTTACTATTTATTTCGAGCTTCAACAAGTTCTTCATTCAATTTCATCTTCATCTTTTTTGCTTCGACTATTTGTTGCAAACACAGCTTTCTTACTAAAGAAATTGTCAATACTTCAACTAATTCTTATTTCCTTGCATTTGATCTCGAAATCTCATCTGTCATTTTTGTCATTGTGTCTTTTAATTTTAGTATCTCTTTCCTATAAAATTTACATGGCATCTCATCAACCAACTATAAAAATTCACATTTTTGTACTTCTTGTAAATGCAAAAACTCAAAAATTAAATATTTTTTCTACCTAAAAGCTATATCAACAATTAAGGAAATCTTACATCAAAATTTGCACAACCATAAAATTTTTGCCTACAGTTGTCATTTGTTCCAATAGTTCTTATTGGTAATTTTACACCATAATAGCATAATTTTCCACCAATCGATCCTTCACTTTCTACAAATTATAAATAATCCATGTTGGCCGGTTCATTTAATTTTTCAAAGTAGTGTGGTGGGAAGAGAAAAAAACATGAAAGAAATGCAGATAAAGAAAACATTAATCGTGAAAGGAAAGAAAAAACAGAGACTTACATGACTATTTGTATAATAATGTTCAATAGGTGATAACACAATAATGGTACAAGGTGTTTATGTGTTACGTTTTAAACTTTAAGGGCTACTTTCAATCTACCCTTAATCATAAGTTATTATGAAGTTTACCCTATATATTTTTTTGAATTTATAAGTTCCTTTTTGTATCATTTTATTTCATTAAATTATGAAGTGTAAAAATGAATGAATTAAATGAAGGTAAGCTCATCGTTTTTCTATTTCTTTAGTTTTTTAAAATTTTTTCTTGAAATAAATTTAAGTTTTAATCTCATATATATTTTTTATTTTTAAAAAAATTGAGTCATGAGTAAAAAAGCAAAAAGAGGCAAAGAATTGTGAAAAAAAAGGAGTAGAGTCAACATTGGCTTATCAAAGAACGAAGAAAAAGTGTAGATGGGACATAAAATAGGTAAAAGAAAATTAAATTTTTGTTTACTAATATAAAATTTTAATGAATTTAAATTTTGATAATTTTTTGTTTTTATTTTTTGCAAGTTCTAAAATAAAATTGACACACAACTTTAGGTATGTTTTATATGTTTATCTTACTCTTGATTGAATTATTTTATAAATTGATAAAAATTACAATATTATTTTTTTCTCTAAGAATTTAAAAGGTTTATTTATTTATGTGTGTAGACACCTTATTCAATTCGAGGCCTAAACCAATTGGGCCCAAACCAACTTCAAACCAATCAAGCCCAAACAAATTTAAGCCAAATTATTAAATTTTTTATTTTTTATTTTTATTGAATTTATCTGTATGTGTATATGTATATTTATCTTATTTATTATTTATTTTAATATTTTTATTATTTATTTATCTCATGGTTGATTATATTTGTTTTATCATTAGTTTATTTATTTTGTTTATTATCTTTAGGGTTGATTATCTTTAGCTTAAAATTTTCTTATTATTTGTTTATTTTTTTAAAAAAAAGGAAATAATTGAAAAGGACGAATGGCCAAAATTTGATTGGAGGGGATTGGCTAGTGATGGGGTTGGATTGAATTTTTACTTTTGAGTGATAATTCATGTTTTAATTTTGAAATATTAATGGAGGATTTTTCTTAGGGATAAAAACTAATTTTCTTTTAAGTGATAAGATGTAACTTTTAATTTTTGAAGAATTCAATCTTAATTAGGACACCCAAGCCTGAGTAGTGTCCTATAAATAAGTTTCAATCATTACAACAAGTACACACAAAAGCAAACACAACAGAGAAACAAAGAACAATAAAGAGTGATTAAGAGCAATACAAAAAAAATTTTTTAGAGAAAAAAATAAAAGAGAATTTTCTGGCACAATTATTTTTTTTAGTTTTTGAAGTTGAAAAAATTTAATTAATATTTTTGGGAAGATCCCAGGAGCCTAGAAGGTTGACTTGGTATTTGGTGTGAATTTTCTAAATTTGTGAAAATTTTTTTGGAAATTCCAAAATCCAATTTTTGAAAAAGTTTTCAATGACTTTTTCAATTAATTTTTCAATTCATAGTATTTTTTTTAGAAATCGATAAAGATTCATATGGTGTTTTTCCTCGATTAGAGAGAGAAACAAAGAAAACAAGGGTAGAAAGAGAAAGTTGAGGCAACTTCTAAAGAAAAAAATGTTTTTAGCATTTTATATCATTATAAAATGACACCATTTTGCTTTAAAGGAATTCAAGATCGCACATTAATTCGAGAAGGATCCACACGTTGATCCGACTCGTAACGCACCTGACCCAACTTTTCAAAGTTGGTTTTCTACTGAACTAAGTGAGCCGTCCAAGCGAGCCTTGAGCCACATCACTCCAAGCCACTTCTTTATGCCTGCAGCCACACCTCTCAAGCCTTTTAGCCAAGCCGAATTCTTGGTGTTTTATTTTATTTATTTATTTATGTATTTTATTTTTGTTTGGTTATTTATTTATTTGTTTATTTATTTCCTATTTATGCGTTCATTTGTTTGTTTAGTTATTTATTTGATTGATTGATTGATTTATTTATTTATAAATATTTTTTATAAAAAATTTTTAAATAAAAAAAGAAGAACCTTATCAACATATTGGAGGGTTTAAGTTTATAAAAAATGAATTTTTGAATAAAGACTAAATCTTACCAACATATTAAAAGGTTCAAAATTCTTTTTAAATAAATTATTCAATAAAATAAACCCTTATTAACATGTTGGAGGATTGCAATCTTATTTTCAAAATAAGGTTTTACCAATATATTGGATAACCTTATAA